GCTAGAAACGCCCCGACCCAGGGGTCAGGCACGGCTCCCGGCCCTGTGGCCTTCTCGTCACCAAGCAGGCGGAGCTGGTAGGAGAGAAGGGATGCAGTCGGAGGCCGCGCCAGCCACGCCTGCTCTGCGGGGAGCCCACGGCGCGCCCGCCCTGTTCCCCCTTCGCGGCCGTTCCTGCGCCGCCCGTGTGTGGTGCTTTCCGTCCCCGTTTGGCACGCGGCTCACGCTCGGAGCAGGGGAAGCCCCGGTGACAGGCAGAGCCCCGCCCGCTCGCCATGTGCCCACCCGCTGACGGCACACACGTCGAGGTGACGCAGTCGTCCCCACCAGCGCTCCTGGGAGGTGCTGCTCCCACCGCCTGGCCCCGCCCGGCCACCTTCAGGCAGGAACGCGCCCACCCAGGCTCCCGGGGCGTGGGAGGCAGTGGCTCAGCCCTGCTCCGGCCCCCAGCGTTAGCCCGGCTGGCCTGGGGACGGGCCTCAGCTCTGTGCTACCAGGCCCCGCAGGCCCTCGGCAGTGTGCCCGTGCCGCTGACGGCAATGACAGGCTCTGAAGCCTTGTGATTTCCGTCCTTGGTGATCATGTGACTGTCTCGATGAGGAGCCAGTGGGTGCCCCTGTTGTGTCCACCGCCGACCCTCACTGGGGGGACTGGACCCGAAGGAAGGTGCAGACCTGGGTCCCTGGCCTGGCCCACAGCAGATGGCATGATCAATGGCACTTCTCCTGGCCCCTTGGCCATCTGAGTCCCTTCCCGCTGCCACCGGGCGTCACTGAGGTGGACGGCCCTCGTGTCACGTTTCTGTCCAGTGGCTCCTTCCCAGCCTGACGTCTGCTTCTGGATCGAGACGTACCTTCCCTCGATCATTCCTGTCCCGTCTCTTCCCGGGAACCTTTTGAAGCCTCATGATTTCCTGCCCTTGCGCTCATGAAGCCGCGGCTGCGCTGTCCGCCACGTGGGCTTCTCGGGCGGCCTGGCTCCTCCTCTCAGGCTCTCTGGCACTTTGCTCTGGGCATGGGCAGGGGCTGTCGGGAGGACTGAGAGTGGGATGGGACGTGGCTGCTCGACAGAGGCGTGAGGAGCGGCACGCAGAGCCCAGGGCTGGCGTTGCACTTCACGGCTTCCCGTTACCGAACGCAAAGCTAGCGCTGCCCGGGGGTGTGCTGATGGTCATGGGGGCCGAGGCATGCAGGAGGGAAGACCTCGTTACAGGGCCAGAGTTTCCAGGACCAGTAGGTGGTGGGGGGTCAAAGCGCTGGACTCCCTCGTGGCTGACTATGGTTCAAGTCCTGGACCTGGTGGCTTGCTTTCTCACTGTTTCTGGTGAGCACACAGGCCCTATAATAAATTTTAAAACATAATAATAAATAAAAATTTTTTAAAAAGGACAAAATATTCAGCCATAAAAAAACAGCAAGACCCTGGCTTTTGACAGAAAATGGATGAATATGGAAGATTTACTGCTGAGTGAAGCAAGCCAGGCTATGAAGGGGAGACATTGAATGTCCCCACTCAATATATACCAAGGGTCACACTCTATGAAACTGAGTGACTAAAGGATATAGAAACATGGAAAATGGTTGTGAACAGCAGATACAGTGTGGGAAGAGGGTGGGTGAAGGAGAGTCTGAGGAAGGACTTTGAGGAGAACAGCAGAGACTAGGTATTTATGGGACACAGAAATGGGGCATTCTCTGTTGAAGATGACTTCATAGTATTGTCAGTCGGACTGGTGAGAAATGCACACGTTGGAATATTCGCTTTGCAAGCTAAATAACGTGATTGCATAAAATAAATTGAAATGAAATTTTTTTTTTTTTGAGAGATTTTCACTATAGGGCGCGTGCACTCGCCAGACAGACAGAGAGAGACATAGAGACAGAAAGCGAGAAATCACCCCCCAGGGGGAATGGTCACGCCGCAATCCCTTCTCCTCCATTCTCCTCTCGGGATCTTGGGCACGCACGCACATGCGCCCGGCGTGAGTTTTTTAAGCCACTGGGTCCGGGACACGAACCGCGGTCGACTACGTGGGAGTCCAGCGACATAGCCATTACGCTAACTGCTGGTTCCTGAAATGAAATTTTTAAAAAATAAAAAAAAAGGGACAAAGTTCCCGTTAGGCAGGAACCCTGCTGCACGGTGTGGAGGGCACCACAAACGGCGGAACGCCCGAAGACGGCCGGCAGAGTGGGTCTAGGTGTCCCCCCTCGGAAGTGATTGGCGCGTGAGGTGTGGAGACGTCAAGGAGCCCGGGCCCATCCTGTCAGGGGTACACGTGGACGACACAGCACCGACAAGCTGTCGATCCTCGACTGGGAATAGATACGTACGTAATCAGAAGAGCCTCCCCAGTAACTCCTTTGACAAAACATAAGAGAGGTGTTTGATATATGTAAGGAACAAGGTAATTTTCTACATTAAATCATAAAATCCGGAACGAACAATCTTTGAGGAGAAGGGCGAGCTCAGCCTGAGCGTCTGTCCAGGAAGGAGGCCTGGAGCCACTTAAAGAGCAGTGCGGGGGGATCAGCAGTTAGCGTAACGGCTATGTCGCTGGACTCCCACGTGGCCGACCACGGCTCGAGTCCCAGACTTGGCGGCTTGCTTTCTCACTTTCCCTCTCTCTCTCTCGCTCTGTCCTTCTCTGGTCAAATTAAAATAAATAAATAAAGTTCAATAAAATAATTCTTGGGGAAAAAAAAGAAAAGAAAAAAGACCAGGCTGCATCCGGGCCATCTTGCTGAGCTTCTGGAGACAGAGAGAAGTCGCCGTGGAGTCTCGGAACCAGAGCCGTGCGCCAGGCCTTGCTGGGGGTGGAGCCGGCCCTCAGCGACACCAGGAACTGGACTGGTGAACCGGAGCGGTCTGGGGACAAGAGCCGACAGAGGAAGCGAGCGTGTGCTCTGCCCTAGTGCCCGCCTGAGTTACTGGAGCGGCCTTCAGGCTCTGACGTGGCTCGAATTGTCTCCGTTTATAGTTTGGAGAAAAGACCGACCCCTACGAGGTCAGTTAGTTCGACAGCACACTTCTAGACAGCACGCAGGTCCAAGTCTGGCGACAGGTCAGCTCAGGTTCCTGTGACTGTCCTGTGTCCCGACCCGCAGGACAGTGGAACAGGTTTCCTGAGGGAAGGAGTAAGAGACGGGAAGAGCAGCGGAGACGACGCAGTGTTACAACATCCGTTTACTGTGGACAGTGTTACAATGCTTTAGGGTCGTCCAGAGACGACCCGGCGTCACAACTCTGCAGGGTCGTCCGGAGATTGTGGGGCCAGGGATTGTTTATATGCATGTTGGTGGGTGGTGATTGGTTAAATGAAGGATTGTAAAAGGTGGGTTATGATTGGTTGCTTTTGTGGACCAATCATGAGGTGCTGGATATGCAAATCTGAGGGATTCTAAGCTCACCGATTTGCTATGGGAAGTGGCCAATCAGAGTACGGTTTTGAAGGTGAGGTTTTGAAGGGGAGCCAATCATGTGTGCTGAGAAACCAAAACCTAAGGGCCATATTCGCTGGTGCGCAGCCTCCCACAGTCCTGAGCTCTCCTCTGGAGCGGAGGTGGAGGCAAAGGCCAGCGTGGATGGCAGGGAGCAGGCGTGGCCTCCGGCCGGCAGCCCAAAGCAGGTTAGCCACGCGGGCGAGGAGTGACCGCGGCCCTCTGGCTGGCAGGACCGGCAGGTGTCGAGCCGCCTCGCAGAGAGGCCCCGCAGGAGGAGCGGGAAGGCAGGCCCCGCGGGGCTGTGGGCTGGCCGAGCCTGACGGCCCACAGTGTGCTGCCCGGCGTGAGACGCTGATGCCGCGCTGGGCCATCCACGCAGTGGGCGTCTCTTTAGCTGTCGGTCTAGAGGTGCGAGGCTGAGGGGCCACGTCTGGCCAGGGTCTCCTCAGTTCTCAGGCGACATGGACACCATATGACAAGTGCCTTTGTGTCCGTGTTTATCTTTTTTTTTTTTTTTTTTTTGAGAGAGATTTTCGCTATAGGGCGTGTGTGCTCGCCAGACAGACAGAGAGAGACATAGAGACAGAAAGTGAGAAATCACCCCCCCCGGGGGGATGGTCACGCCGCAATCCCTTCTCCTCCATTCTCCTCTCGGGATCTTGGGCACGCACGCACAAGTGCCCGGCGTGAGTTTTAAGCCACCGGGTCCGGGACGCGAACCGCAGTCGACTACGTGGGAGTCCAGCGACATAGCCATTACGCTAACTGCTGGTTCCCCGTGTCTGTCTTTTAAAGCCTCCAGGATCCGTCTTGGGGCCGCGCCCGCTGGCCTTACCTAGCCCTAGTCACCCCTAGTCTCCATGTCCACCACCACCCCGGGTGCAGACTCCAGCCTCTCACCACCACCATGAGGACCCACGTCTGAGGCGTGTGAGGACATTGACACTAGCAAGGACATGGTAACTGTGCCGGACTGGGCCTCCTAGGCCACCCGGAGAGAGCAGAGTGGAGGGAGGGGGCCACGGACAGAGCCCCCAGAGCTGCGACACAGCTGCATGGAGAAGTGGCCGGAGGGAGGGGTGGGAGAGGCCGGGCTAGGAGCTGTGAGGCCCCGGAGCGAGTGGTGGACCCTGGCATCTGTGGGTAAGGCCGCGGTGCTGACATGCTCACGGCCGTGTCCCTCTGTCGTTAGCAGCCTCGGGTACGTCTCCTGGGGCCCCCACTTTACCCTCAGAACCTCCCCTTTGTACAAAAGGACAAGTCTGTCAAAATGTCAGCCACTTCTGTACGTGCAAACGCACACCATCAGGGACATGAGTGACCGCAGATCATGGCATGGGGCTGTTTCTTGACAAGCAGGCCTGTGACGACCGAGCATGTGTGTGCGTGTCTGCATGTGCATGCGCTGTGTGCTCAAATATCTGCCGTGTGCACTGTGTGTGCGTGTGTGTGTGCATATGAGTGTGCTGTGTGTGCTCAGATATCTTCTGTGTGCACATGTGAGTGTGCGTCTCAAATATCTTCTGTGTGCACGGGTGGTGTGTGTGCATGTGTATGTACACATCCTCTGTGTGTGTGCATGTGTGCGCATGTGAGTGTGCTGTCTCGGTGTGTGCACGGGTGGTGTGTGTGCATGTGCGTGTACACATCCTCTGTGTGTGTATGTGTGCACATGTGAGTGTGCTGTCTCGGTGTGTGGACGGGTGGTGTGTGTGCATGTGCGTGCACACATCCTCTGTGTGTGTGCATGTGTGCGCATGTGAGTGTGCTGTGTGGGTGCGTGCACACATCCTCTATGTATGTGTGCACATGTACTGTGTGTGCAGAGGGAAGGGGTTGGTGCACTTGTCTTGGGACAAGGGCCAGTTTAATGCCTCCCCCCACTCTGCTTGCCCACCCGGCAGCCTCTGGGAAGCCTGGCACCCCCAGCGGATAGCAAAGCTGCAGAGAAGGAGAAGAAGCCAGCCACAGCCACCACCAGGGGCGGGAGAGGAAAAGGGAAGGGAAAGAAGAAAGGAAAAGCCAAGGAGGAGGCAGAGGAGGAGACTGACCCCCGGAAGATTGAGCTGCTGAACTGGGTACGAGGAGGCCCGGCCTGCCGTTTCTGGGACCGTGAATGGGGAAGGAGGGGCAGGTTGTATTGCCTGCTGTGGCCCCACCCAGGCTGACCCTGGCAGGCAGTGGCAAAGGACAGGGACAGTGCCATCGAGAACACCACACATCCTGCATGTGGGGAAATGGGCCACCCAGGGCAGGTCTGAACCCTCTGCTCACCCGAGGCCCCTCTGCCTGCCAGACATGCAGGGGCTAAAGGCAGAAAGCCCGGGGACAACCCAGTCTTCCCGGGTGACCCCACTGCGTGCTGTAGGACCCTGTGAGGGGGCCCGGTACCAGCAGCACCAGGCCTGCAGCAGTGACTTCTGTGGCAGTGGAAGTCCCCTCGCTGCCAGGACACTGGTGCCACCAGGGCACTGGGCCTCTGCAGTGATGCCAGCCTGTCACGGCCATGTCCACTCACCACGTGGCATCCTGTGGCCACTGCGTGCCCACCGCTTCCACACGGGCTCTCCCCAGTCAAGGGAATGAATGGCAGAGATGGGCGGAGTAGCCCTAGTAAGCCACAATTCTCTCCGATTTATTTCAAAAACAGAAAACTCGTGTCGTCTTTGACAAAACATGGGGCAGGCAAACTGAGAAGGGAGAGGGCAGGTAGAGAGAGCCTTGCTCAGAATTCTCCAGGCCCTGGGACAGCGTAGCCCACGCCAGGTGACTCTGGGACACCCATGCCACTCGTGACCCTGCAGGTGAACGCCTTGGAACAGGCCATGCTGGATGCTCTGGTGCTGGATCGGGTTGACTTCGTGAGGCTGCTGATCGAGAACGGGGTGAACATGCAGCACTTCCTCACCATCCCGAGGCTGGAGGAGCTGTACAACACGGTGAGTGCTGCAGGGGAAGCAGGCCGTGAGGACCCGCTCGCCGCCGTGCAGGGGGAGCTGGCCATGTGGAGGGGCTCACCGCCGTGCAGGGGGAGCTGGCCATGCAGAGGGGCTCACTGCCGTGCAGGGGGAGCTGGCCATCCTAGCACGTCCACCACTGTACGTGAGGGCTAGCTGTGCAAACACATGTACCGCCATGCTCGGGTGTGCACAGCATCACCAGAACGTGCCACAGCTGGGAGGTCCTTCATTTTTGTTTATTTATGTCTTCCATGAGAGAGTCACCGAGAGAGAGAGCGCGCAGGAGAGACATGCACCCCTACATGTCCTCACGCCAGTGCACCCCCACTCCAGCCAGCCTGGACCTTGAGTGCACACAGAGGTGCCTGGCATGTACAAGGAGACCGTGGGGTGCAACCAGGGCCATCCCACGTGGTCAGGCATCGTGGATGCTGCATTACCATGGCACCATAGCTGGCCAGGGCCCTGTACCTGATGCTGGGCAGCTCCTCCTCACCTGCTTCCAGATGCAGCTATGGCCACCTTCCTGGCCATCGAGAGGCTAGGCCGAGCTGGCACCCCGTCTCATCTCCACTCGTGTGGTGTGTGAGTGAGGCTTGGCGTATGCCGTGGGAGTCTAGCTTAAGGCGCCAGCAGAGCAGACGTTACGGAGGGTGATTCAGTGGTCCCTGGAAAACACGTTTCTACGAGGTTTTGGTGAGAAATGCAGAACGGCTTCAGACGGCCCCATAGGACAGTGGGTAAGCCCTGTGCACAGAGGACTGGCCTCACATGGCTGACTGTTCGAATCCCAGCCCCTCAGCTTGAAAAACGTGGGGCACGGGTGTGTGCATGTCAGATCCTGATGGGATGGAGGAGACAGGGTTACGGTGTGACCACACCCATTGAGAGGTGCCTGTCCCTGGCACGTGTGCAACTGCACGTGCCCTCTGCAATTCGAAATTTTAAAGAAAGAACTGGGTTTTCACGGCAAGGAGCTCCACTGTGCTAGCATGGGAGGCTCGGGATGGACCCCCTCTGCTAGGATCGCTGCCATGCACGTCTGAGAGCCCACTCCTTCTGGTTCTGACCTGCCGTGCAGGGGAGCGGGCCTTGGCGGGCACTCAGCTGGTCGCAAGTGTCCCCTACATTGCACACCGCAAGCTACTCCAAGGTAACCCCTGAAGAGGCCTCCGCCTCCCTCTGGGGTGCTGGCACTGTTTAAAACATTTATGTACTTTCTGGGGGAGAAGCCGGGAGAGAGGCACGTCAGTGGGATCTCAGCCACAACCCCTCAGCCGACCCAGCAGCCAGGACCACGGGAGCATGCACGTGCCCAGCCAGGACCACGGGAGCATGACCATGGGAGCGTGCATGTGCCCAGCCAAGACCACGGGAGCATGCACGTGCCCAGCCAGGACCGTGGGAGCGTGCACATGCCCAGTGTGTACAGACCCCAGAACTGAGCCCAGCCTCCCATGCGGCTCCAGCATTCCAGAGGCTCGTACCACCAAGCTGGGCCAGGGCTCAAGGTGTCTCAGCCACGACCGTCTGTCTGGCAGGAGACTAGTGGTTAGGACAGCGGGTTCCACTCGGCCCCCAGACACGCTCGTTCCATGTGAGGGTGGGGTTTGCTCCAGGCGCTGACAGGCCCTTCACTGTGACCGACGCTTCTCTTTCAGAGGCTGGGTCCCCCGAACACGCTGCACCTGCTGGTGAGGGACGTGAAGAAGGTCAGTCTGCCCTCAAACCCCTTCCCTGTTGGCATCCTCCTCAGATGTGGCCCTTAGAAACGTTAACTTCCCAAATCTGTCCTTGCCTTTCTCACTGTTTGAGAGAAGGGAGATCAGGGGTTCCTTTCTTCAGAGAAAGTTTGCTTAAAAATAGAAAGGGAAAGGGTTCTCTTCTCTACGCCGAACGCACAGCTGCACAGGACAGGCATGGCCGCGTGGCAAGGCTGTTGGCACCGAGGCTGGCGCCAGGGTGGGCCCACGCCGCACGGCCCCATCCGTGCTGTCCTGTCACTGCCGCGCCTGCTCTCGGCCCTCTCTGTTCCCTCGTGTGACGGCAGCTGCCCCCACCC